GCTCCTGATAACACAGACCAGAGGCAGTGGCAAGGGCTCAAGGGATTCTTTGAGTTTGGGCGAATTCCTTAATGCTGTGTGGCTCCCGAGCTGAATGGGGTTCAGCGTGGGAGGCGGCCGGGGTCCCTGCTAGCTGGGTGCAGGTGTGAGGTGGTAGCACTGCCCTGGGCGGGGGAGCGGGGGCTTACTGAGCCCAGTTCTGGGCCAAAGCCTGAGGTTTGGCTCTGGTCTTGTTTGTTTGTTTTTAAAGATATATTTATTTATTTGAGTCAGAGTTACAGAGAGAGAGAGAGAGAGAGAGAGAGAGAGAGAGGTCTTCTATACACTGGTTCACTCCCCAGATGGCCACAACGGCCAAGGCTGAAGCCAGGAGCCAGGAGCTTCTTCCAGGTCTCCCACGTGGGTGCAGGGGCCCAAGCACTTGGGCCATCTTCTACTGCTTTCCCAGGTGCATCAGCAGGGAGCTGGATCAGAAGTGGAGCAGCGGGACTCAAACCAGTGCCCATGGAAGGTGGCAGCACCGCAGGGGGTGGCTTTCCCTGCTGCGCCACAACACCGGCCCCTTCTCTGGTCTTTGAAGGAGCCAGCTTAAAGAGCTAGGACAGGACCACCTGGGAAAGACCGGGAGCGGGGGAGGAGTAGCTAGGCCGGGGTCCCTGTCCCAGAATCCGGGGAAGTGAGTGAAGAGAGCCTCTTGGCTTGGGGCTGGGGGTGCTGGCAGCCGGGGAAATGTAGGGGGGAATGCTGGGGGTTCTTGTGCCCTCGGGGACAGGGGTGGCCGGGTGACTGCAGGCAAGGCAAGAGAAGCCCCTAGTTTTGAGCCTGAAGAGGGACTCTGGGGCTGACGTGCCGTGAGACCCTGGGCCGGGCCTCAGTTGCCTGTCTGCTGCGTGGGGTTAGTCGTGGCTGCCCCTCCAGAGTCTGGGACGGGCAGAGCTGTGGTCCTCGATGCTGCAGCAGTCGGGCTGTCACTCCAGAGATGCGCACAGCCTAGCCTTGCCCCATACATGATGGGATCACAGGAGCTCAGGGCAGAAAGCGCCACCCCTCAGCTCCTTAAACTGAGTGAGAAGCCCCACCCCCCCCACACCCCATGGCGCAGTCCCCTCTGCTGACTGGCAGGGAGCTCGCTGCTCGTGGGCTGAGCGGAGACCTGATTCTGCAGACCCTGTTCTTGCTGCCCCGTGAGGGCCTCGTGGCTCCATCAGGGACCTGAAATCCTGAGCAACCCCCGAGGCTTCTCCAGGGGGCACAGAGTTGGCCGTTTCCCGGTGGGACCCTCTGTGCAAAGCCCACTTAACGAAGACTTTCTGGCTTGGCCCATGGGTGACAGACGTGACCCTGTGTCCTGTGCTGGTCACCCTGGCGCCTTGGTCTCCTGGCCATGAACTGATTCCCACGGCTCCACCAAAGCCATGGGGCCCTGGCCAGTCTGTGCAGCTGGCTCCTGGAGCTACTTACAGGGCCCAGCAGGTTCTTGTTACTTTTTTTTTTTTTCAAGATTTATTTATTTATTTGAGAGACAGAATTAGAGACAGAGAGGGAGAGACAGAGACAAGTCTTCCATCTGCTGGTTCACGCCCTAAATGGCCACAACAGCTGGAGCTGTGCTGATTCGAAACCAGGAGCCAGGAGCTTCTTCCAGGTGTCTCACATGAGTGCAGGGGCCCAAGGACTTGGGCCATCCTCCACTGCTTTCCCAGGCCACAGCAGAGAGCTGGATTGGAAGAGGACCAGCTGATACTTGAAGCGGCACCCGTGTGGGATGCCAATGCCAAGGTGAAGGCCTAACCTACTACACCACAGTGCCAACCCCAGATTCTAATTACTTTAAAATTATTTTCTAAGTATTGGAGAGCTCCCATCCTCTGTTTCACTCCCCAGGTGCCTGTAACAGCTAGTTCTGGATCAGGGCGAAATGGGGAGCCGGGGACACAATCCGGGTCTCCCACGTGTGTGGCAGGGACCTGACTACCTGAGCCATCGCCCGCTGCCCCCCAGGGCCTGCATTGGCAGGAACTGGACCCGGGGACTCTCGTGTGGGATGTTGGCATCTTAACTGCTAAGCCAAGCACCTGCTGCCTTCAAACTTTCTCGTGTCTTCTTCGGCCCCTTCACAGGGCAAGAGGAAGGCTTTCAATAAGCCCCCGCACCCCTGCTTCTGGATTGCCCCCTTCAAGGCTCCTCTCACCGGAGCACAACACAGCTCGGTGTGGGAGGGCTGTGGGTGGCGCTTTAGAGACCTGTGAGACCACAGCAGTGAGTGAGGGGTCAGGCTGGGGCTCTGCCTGCACCTGCTCTGTGCTTCCTGCATGGTCTCTGACAGGTGTGCGCCCTGTCCAGGGCCCCTCTGCACCCTCCATCCCACTCTGTCCTGCCTTCTTGGAAATCGTCTGTCTTACCTGTCCACCTGGTGGGGGGTCCGATACCCGTGTGCCCCTCGCGAGACAGCAGGGGCTGGGAGTAAAAGATGCACCCCGGGAGGTGGGCCGCCGGTGGGCAACTCGTCTGCTCGTCACCTTTCAGCACTTACTTCAAGGGGAGGGGGATCGGCTGCACCGCAGTGCCAGCCCCTCCCTGGGCACTCCTCAGCGAGGAGGACACCGCTGGCCGTCCTGGCTGGAGCCCTCCCTGAGGACTTTTCATTGCACTTGGCGTGAAATCCGGAGCCCCGGGGCCGGCATTGTGGCGCCGTGCATGCCATGTGGGCGCCAGCTGCTCCACTTCCGATCCAGCTCCCTGCTAGTGGGCCTGGGAAGGCAGCGGGTGGGCCCCTGCACCTGCGTGGGAGACCCAGAAGCAGCTCCTGGCTCCTGGCTCCTGGCTTTGGAGCAGCCCAGCTCTGACTGTTGCTGCTGTTTGGGGAGTGAACCAGTGGATGGAAAACAGAATTTCTCACTCTCTCTCTCTCTCTCCCTCTCCCTCTCCCTTTCCCTCTCCCTCTCCCTCTCTCCCTCTGTGTGTGTGTGTGTATCTTCTTGTAACTCTGCCTTTCAAATAAATAAAAAAGTTTAATAAATCTTAAAAACCCCTACACACACTGAAGCCTTAACTTGGCCATCAGGGCCCCACCTCCCTCTGCTGCTCTGTTTTCTGAAATGGAAATCAAATGGGAAAATGGGACCTCTTGCCTGGTCCCCACTGCTCCCCTCCCCAGGGCTCTCACAGTCTGTGTAAGTCTGTGTGGTAGAGACTGTGTGTGTGGATATGTGTGTGTAAGTGTGTCTGTAAATGTGTGTGTAAGACTATGAGCCTATGTGTGTGTGTGTGTGTGAGAGAGAGAGCCTGTGTGTGTGTGTAAGACTGTGAGCCTATGTGTGTAAGCCTGTGTGTGGATGTGTGTAAGTCTGTGTGTGTAAGACTGAGCCTGTGTGTGTGAACCTGTGTGTGTAGGTGTGTGTGAGCCTGTGTGTGAGCCTGTGTGTGTGTGTGTAAGTCTGTGTGTGTAAGACTGAGCCTATGTGTGTGTGAGCCTGTGTGTGTAGGTGTGTGTGTAAGTGTGTGTGAGCCTGTGTGTGTGTGTGGGTGTGTGTGAGCCTGTGTGTGTAGGTGTGTGTGTAGGTGTGTGTGAGCCTGTGTGTGTAGGTGTGTGTGAGCCTGTGTGTGTGTAGGTGTGTGTGACCAGGAGAGCTCGTGTGCAGCTTCTCTGAGCTGCGGCTTCTGCATCTGTGAAATGGGCTTGTACTCGGACCCCTGGAGCTGCGGCGGGGCGGGGGCAGCCTTGGGGAGCGCGTTGCCCTGTGCACGGCTGCAGCCCACCCCCCCCCAGCCGGTTCCGGCTCTGCACTCCGTGTCGGGGGACGTCAGTGCGCGTCACCTGTGGTGCTCTGCTTGGCGCTCGCGATGGCAGAGGGGCTGAGACTCACGTTGGCGCCCCGCCCGCGTCTTGCTGTGATCAGGAACTGCACGTCTCGGAGTGCAACCCTCTGAGGGGTGTTGTGCCCGGGAGTCTCTGGCTGAGGGACGGGGTGGCAGAGGCTGGGGAAGGTGGGCCGACAGCCCCCTCCAGGGTGACACTCCCTAGGCCCGTGCTGCGCGTGACTGGGAGCAGGAGACCACCGTCCCATGGGTGCCGTGCGGGGCTGGCTCTGGGGGCCACAAGATCGGGGCTCCAGCTTGGCCTTTGCTGCCTCCTGGCTATGTGAGGATGCGCAAAGCCCTTCCCTCCCTGGACTCGGCTTTCTCAGGTGGACAAGGGAGAGTGGACGCCGCGTCGCTGCTGCCTATGGCTGTTTAGGTTTAAATGCAGATTCATTAAGATAAAGCGATGCTTGGACCATGCGCTCCCTTCACACCCTCCGTGTGCTGGCTGCCATGGGGACCGCGCAGGTCCAGGCACGTCCTTCGCAGTGGGCGGTTCCAGTGTCCGGAGCAAGTCTCAGGCCCCTCTGGGGGTACAGCTGCCCTCAGGGTGGGGTTCAGGGCTCCCCTCTTCCCGCCTCTTGATGGAGCCAGAAGGAAGGCGAGCAGCCAGACCCCGGCCAGGCCTCACCAGCAGGGATTCCCCAGGCCAAGTGCCCATGCCCCGCGTCCCTCCAAGGGCTCCCAGCCTGGCCTGGGGAAGCGTGGGCCCCACAGGGGGCAGTCCCCAGCCAGGGCTGGGCCCGTAGCAGCCTGGAGTCCTTGACCCTCAGACAGGAGGGCACAGGCAGGGCCTCCATGGCTCTGAGGCCCTGCAGGAAACACCACCATGTGTCCCGTGGGTTAAGTGACTTCCTCTCTAGAATCTTCTAGAAATCTGGACCAGAGACCCGAGAAAGGGGGCTGCCCCTGTGGACACTGAGCTGCCTGGGGCCCAGGCCTCGGTCTCCCCCTCCCATCTCTCAAGAGGAAGACCTGCATTTGCTGCCCCCAGGCTACCTGGGGGAGTGGGGGCCTGGGGGTGGGGTGCAGGGGTGAGGAAGGGAGGCCAGACTTGGCTGACTTGGCGTGTGGCCCCGCCCCTCTGTCTCCAGTCTCCACCCACCCTGCCACTCACTCCTGCTGGTCTTCTTTTCCAGGGACCCAGTGGCCATGACCTGGCTGCCCTGACTCTGGCTGCACAGCCTCCCGCCCACGCCTCCTGGGCTCTGACTGCGTCCACCCTCAGCCAGCCCCCCCCCCCCGCCTCCTCCTCACCCCAGCCTGGCCCCAGGGGACTCCTGCAGCTTTGGGACTCCGCGGCAGGGTACAGCAGCGGTCACGGTAGGTGGCATCCCTGTCTCACTCTCTCCCTGGCCCTGGGGATGCCCAAGCCATCTTGGTCCCTGAGTCACCTCTCTGGACACTGTGTCTGTCGGGGTCCCTTCAGCGGTGAGTAGCAGAAGCCCCCTGTTTCGGTAAAGTGAAGTCGTTGGCTCAAATGACTCATGTTCCCCAGCAGGGTGGGCTGCAGGCAGGGCCTGATCCAGCGTTCACACGTGGCCGCCATTCCTTTCCACGTGGCGCTGGACATGGGGCAGCGCATGTCCAGATTTTACACTTGGGCTCTGGTAGAGACAAAATCCGCTCTTCTGATAGACTGAATCAGCGTCCCCAGGGGACATGGAGGGGCTGGTGACCAGGGCCTGTGATTCCTCTACTGGGAGAGCAGGGCTTGGGGCCCTGCTGACGGGAGAAAGGAGACTCCACCGGGGAGCTGAGGCCAGTATGCGGTGGATGTGGACACGCTGTGTGTGCCTGGACAAGTCCCTGTGTCCTCCCGAGCTCCGGCCTGTTCACGTGGCAGGGACCTCACTGGCAGGGGTGCTGTGGAGCCGCTGGAAGCACGGCGTCCAACAGCGGCTCAGCAGACCCGCTTCCGTTCCCCCCCCCCGACCCCCTCTCCAGGGGGCTTGGGCACCCCTGCTGTCTTCAGGCTTGGAAGGGGCTGTTGGGCAGGGATCCAGCATGTGATCTATTGAGGGTGGCCTCTCAGGAGAGAGGAGGAAGGAAGGGGTGAGGGCTGGGGCAGCGGCCCCGTGAGGTCATTGGTGGGCACCCCAGGCTCACCTCCCAGGCAGGGCCGGGCTTTGGTGTGGCTCGGCCAGGTGATTTGTGCTTGTGCAGGGCTTGGGAGAGGGGGAGCCACGTGAGCAGCAGCCACGCTCCCGGCTGCTGGGGGATTCCCAGGGCCCCACCATTCAGTCCAGGGAGGCAGGAGCCCAGGCCCTGAGCCTGGCCAGGGCTGAGTGCCCTCGTCACTGGCCCTGTGGCTTTTGCTCCTCCTGCCAGCAGCACTGGTTCCTGCTAGCACTGCGGGGAAGGGGGGGGGCGCTGGCTGCCCTGCTGGGAGTCTAGTGATGGGGGACCCTCAGCCCCTCCCTGGAGGAGCCCTTCCATTTGAGGTCCCTCACTCCCTCTGCCCCCTGCCTGTCTCCTCTCCTCCCCTTGCACCTTAGCCCCTCTCCCTGCTATGCCCCCCTTGCCCTCTTGCCCGCCCTGTCTGTCAAGGCCCAGTTCAGGTCTCCTCTGCCCCAGGAAACCAGGCCCGACTGCCTTAGCCAGCGGTCACCTCCACCAGTCCACCTTCCGGCTCTACCCTTTCTGCCGACGCTGAGACCTGGCGTGCTTCCTCATGAATTCTCTGTTGGTTGCTGCACCGTGCCCAGGGCCTCTGCTCTCTATGCCTGGCCTGCTAGGAAGCTCATATGGCCCGAGTCTGACCCACACTTGGAAGCTGTCTCTGGCTTCGGCTTCTCCTTCCCTGTCCTTGTCCTTATTCCCGCCTGTGCTGTCAGAGTATCCTCACAACGTCAGACCCTTTGGACCCTTCCGGGGGGGCAGAGGCCACCGGAATCGGCTGTAAGTGACAGCAGCCAGATGCGGGCCCTTCGCCCTCCCGGGGGCGGCTCGGATGTGGGTCTCCCCCAGGCCCAGGGCCAAGCCCGCCCGGGGCGCCCAGGGAATCGCGAAGAGCATTGCTCTGCTTCCAGCCGCTTCCCTCCCTCCCCGTCTTATCAGAAGCTAATGAAAGAGGCTGGGAAACCCAATCCTCTGGTAATTAAATTTACTTAACGGGTATTCAAGTGGAGTAATGAGAAGTTTAATGCAGTGATTAGATTTTTCTTTAATTAATTAAAATAAGAGCCATGCTTCCTGCCAGCAAGCCGACTTGACCCTGTGCCCGGAGTGGCGGGCGGCGGCACAGGGGCTTGGAGGTGAGCACCCCCTTGGGCAGGGGTGCCGCCATCTCGGGAGTGAGCCTGCCTCCCACGTGCACTCAGTGAGCCCCCGGTCTGCTCCTGGTTCGGGCGGGGCCCTGCGTGTGCCAGGCTGGGACCAGTCCCGAGGCACCCATGGCCAGGGGGCCGGCAGCCTGCACCCTCAGAGGGCTGAACTCCAAGCCAGGCTGGGGTTGCCTGCAGGAGTGCAGAGCGAGGTTGTGGGCACCGAGGTGGGAGCCAGCATGTGGGTGGCCGCGTGCCAGCGGCACTGTCACCGCAGGTTAGAGGGCCTAGCTGTGCCTCCGTGGGGGCCGGATTGTCTGGCCTCGTGGAGGCAGATACTAGGATGAGGGTGCAGGGAAGGTGAATCCCAAGCCCTTGTCCCCTTGGCTTGGGGACGCGTCCACGGCAGGCAGTACCTCTGCCCCTAAGCCAGGAAGTGCTGGGCTCTGATGGTGGCTGGGCCAGAGGGACCCTGGGCATCCCAGCGCAGCCGTCTGAAGTGGGGTAGCTGGGGACGGGGAAGGCACACCAGCGACCCTGAAGGTGGGCCAGAGGCAAGGTGCTGTTTTTGAAACAGTGGGCTGAGTGAATGGTGAAGGGTTCTGAGCCTTTCACAGTGGGGGTCAGAAAACACCCCTCATTGAGCCCTGACCCCAGCCCCATGCTGAGCCCTGAGCCTGGTCCTGGTCCTACAAGGATCCCTGATCCCAGCTACACACTGAGCCCTCCCTCCAGCTCCACAGTAAGCTCTGATCCTGGACAGTCTGAACCGTGGTCCCGGTCCTACATGGAGCCCTGATCCCAGCTACACACTGAGCCCTGACCCTGGACAGGCTGAACTGTGGTCCCGGTCCTACACGGATCCCTGATCCCAGCTACACACTGAGCCCTGACCCTGGACAGGCTGAACCGTGGTCCTGGGTCCTACATGGAGCCCTGATCCCAGCTTCACAGTGAGCTCTGACCCTGGACAGGCTGAACTGTGGTCCCGGTCCTACACAGATCCCTGATCCCAGCTACACACTGAGCTCTGACCCTGGACAGGCTGAACCTTGGTCCTGGTCCTACATGGAGCCCTGATCCCAGCTACACACTGAGCCCTGACCCTGGACAGGCTGAACCGTGGTCCCGGTCCTACACAGATCCCTGATCCCAGCTACACACTGAGCCCTGACCCTGGACAGGCTGAACTGTGGTCCCGGTCCTACACGGATCCCTGATCCCAACTCCACACTGAGCTCTGATCCTGGACAGGCTGAACCGTGGTCCCGGTCCTACACAGATCCCTGATCCCAGCTCCACACTGAGCTCTGATCCTGGACAGGCTGAACCGTGGTCCCGGTCCTACATGGAGCCCTGATCCCAGCACCACGCTGAGCCCTGACCCTGGACAGGCTGAACCGTGGTCCCGGTCCTACACGGATCCCTGATCCCAGCTCCACACTGAGCTCTGATCCTGGACAGGCTGAACCTTGGTCCCGGTCCTACATGGAGCCCTGATCCCAGCACCACGCTGAGCCCGTTGTTGTTATGGCTACAGAGAAGGCAGGTGTTGAGTGGGGGGAGAGGAGGAACCTCCCCGCTTATCGGTCCCCACACCGGCTCTGCCGCCTGTGGGCAGGACTCCTGTGCCAGGCCTCACGCTGGGCTCCAGAACGGCTGGGATGAATCAGATGTGGTCGCTGCCCACAGGGCCGGTGGGGGAGGTGACGGGCAAACAAGTGATGACAGCACCCAGTGATCAGCGCTGAGGGGGAGAGGCCCGGGGGCCGCAGGGGCCGTGGAGCTGTGTTGAGAGTGTTTCTCCGGCAGCAGGTGGGAGGCGGGACCAGGGAGGAGGCTGAGTCGGCACCGTGAGGCGAGGGGGCGGGCACAGGGCCTGGGCTGACAGCTGACACTCTTGTGTCTTCCGAGAACTGGCTGAGACCCCAGGGACTCACCTGTGGGAAGGTGGACGCCTCACAAGGACAGCCTTTGTGGAAGAGGAAGCATGGACGCGGGCACGTGTGTGAGGCCGCACGGCGCGTGCAAGTCCCCAGCCTGGCCACCCTCTAGCCTGCACCTGTGGTCCTGGGAGCGAACCCACTCTAGGTCTGAGCCGGTCTAGGTCTAGGTCTTCTCTTCTCGGCTCTTCCACCTGCACCGTGAGCCCGGCTGGGCCCTGGTGGAACCCGGCCGGTCAGACCAGCCCTCTGGCTGCAGCAGGGGTCCACAGAGCAGGGCGAGGGTGGTGGCTGTGGCGGGGCAGAGGGCCCAGGACAGAAGGCCTCCTGGTCCCCAGCCCCGTCTGGCATCCACGTGTCTGGATTCCCTCACACTCCCTCGTCCTCTTCCATGGCCTGGCCCCTCCTGAGTGGCCTGGACAAGCCCCGCCCCCCAGTCAGCTGCCCCCCACCCACCTGGGGAACTCGAGACCCTGCTCGCTTCACGGGGACTCAGGTCAGGTCTCCCCCGCAGGTGGCAGGGGGAAGCAGCAGGAAGCTGGAGTCAGGAGCCAGGGCGGGGGCTGGGGTCAGACCCAGGCACATGGGCATCGTAACCGCCAGGCTGAACACCTGCCCCTGAGTTCACACTTTAAACACAAGGACAGCCTTGACTGCTTTCCCTGGGGCGGGGCCTGGAGGGGCACATGTCCACACAGGTTTGCTGGCAGGTGCGCCCCTGCCTGGGTTCCAGGTCTCGGTCTGTAGGTACCAGAGCCCACCTGCTGCCCAGTGCGTTCCGATCCTGGGCCCGAGCCTCCCCCCACAATCCCCTCCCCTCCCTTGCTGGATGGGCCGCAGCTCCTTCTCCCTCCATCTCTCTCCGAAGACTCCCAGCATGCCCCGCTCTCCGCTGTGCTCTGTCAGTCTGTGACTCCTTCCCCGCAGCCCTGCACTCCCCACCCCTACCTCCGTCACCCGCATCCCCTTCCTCCTTCTGGGCCGAGTCCCTGCGGCTGCGTGGATGCCAGCTCTGGCTGGCTGCTGGGTGGGGCTGGGGCCGGACTCGGGCCCCAGCAGCCTTCCCACTGCTCCCCCTGGCTGCGCTCGGGTCTGGGTGCAGGAACGAGGCCAG